CAGCAGATTTCTTGTACCAAATCAACGCCCCAGGTGGACCCAACATATGTAAAGCGAATATGGAAGCTATTAACCTGGTAGCCTCTTCGGAAGACTGAGCAGTCAATCAAAAAGCCTCGGTTGACAGTGTGTGGTGTTCCTTCAAACAATTATATGCGCGAGTGACCCAACCGTTCATTTCGTGGACTTTTCCGAGGGGACGCAAACATTGTCCTCCGTGGATAAACCACGAAATCCGAATCTTGCTACGACGTAAGAAAAAGTGTTAGAGTCTTGCCACCCACCTCGGTACTCCCTAGGTGGTGAAGTATTACAAAGAAGCCCGAAATAAATGCATTGTTGCTATTCCCCGGTCTCAAATATGTTTTGAAACACGTCTTGCCCAGGCTGCATTGCAACATCTAAAGTGGTTATTTTCTCATATGAACTATAAAAATAAGATGTATCGTGGTATACCCGCCCTAATCAAAGGGACCAAAACTAACCGTTTGATTGAGGATGATAGAGAAAAAGCAGAAGTCATGGCTGGACATTTTGCTGGTCTTTACACAGGAATCTTCTGTGGACACTTATCCAACAGTAGAAGCATTGACATCGAACGGAATAAACTCCGTGGATATCGATCATAATGATGCATTTCGGACACTAAGTACTCTGGATGTAGAAAAATCAACGGGATAGGATGAGCTGCGGCCAAGGTTCTTTAGATAGCTTGCACTCTATGTAGCCCGCTCACTGGCTACTATATTTACTGTCAGTCAGTGAAGGCACGCTCCCCTATGACTGGAAGGATGCCAGAAGGCGAGTTCTAAGCGGCACCCATCAAATTACACACCGATAAGTTTGACTAGTACTGTAGTAAAAATCCTAGGAAGAGTAGTCAAAAAAGCCACTGCAGTTCACTTAGAGAGCAGCACTCTATTGTCTCGTTCACAACATGGCTTTCGCACAAATTTCTTTTGCTTGACGAACCTCCTTACAGTCAGAGAAAGTCGAGTTAATTCTGAAGATGACAGGATACCTGTAGATATCATTTTCAGACTTTAGTAAGGCGTTTAACAAGGTACCTTATTCCAGGTTGCTGAGGAAACTAGAGAGTTTGGGAATTATTGGCAGTCTGCTTGTATGGATAAGAGTTCCTCGTTGGTAGGAGACAAAAAGTGAAGATCAATTCTCAACTCTTTTCTTGGATGTGGGTAGAAAGTGGAGTGACGCAAGGTACAGTCCTGGATCCCCTACTGTTTCTCCTGTACGTATATGAGCTGCCGAGTATCGTGAAGTCCCCCATGGTTCTGATGATGCGAAAATCTGGCGGGAAATTAGGAATGACGAGGATATACCTGGACTTCAGGCAGACCTAAACAACTTGTTTACCTGGTCAGAGAAGTGGTTGATACCTATCAACGCAGGTAAATGTGTGAGAATGAACTTGGGACACACACATGGCAACACCTACGATACTGATGGGACTCCTCTACTGTCAGTACTGACCACAATGACCTAAGAGTCACAGTGAGTTATGATTTGAAAACCACGGCTGACTGTCGACTGACTGGTAGCAGCTCGGAGTTTTAGAACACTGGCCATTACGTAGAATGTTTACAAAAATAAGTGGTGATATTTTCAGCATCTTATACACAACCTTAGTTAGGTTTAAATTAGAAAACTGTACACAGGCGGCAAATCCTTGTCTGAAAGGTGACCCAGACCTTCTGGAAAGACTTAAGATGACGGCCACTCGTATGATCACTGCGATGGCTGGCCTCACCTATGAAGATGGACTTAAGGAGCTGAACCTCTTCACTTTATCCTATCGCGGATAGAGGGGAGATCTAATCATGCTATACGGGATTCTAAGAAATGAATTTGAACCTGATCTATCTTTTTTCCTTCCCACTAGGTCGAAACACCTCGGAGGACATAGTAGGAAGCTACAAAAGCAAAGAACAAACAGTCCCCGTAGTGCTGGTTCTTACGTCGGGTAATCAACTCCTGGAACCGACTTCCAGAACAAGTGTCCACAACATCAACTGACTCGTTCAAAAGGGGATTGGACAAGCACAGGAATCTACTAGAAGAGGAGTAATATAGGCTCACAGCCTTCTATTTTCAAACAAAAAGTCTGAATCTGTAGTTTATGTATACCCTAGTTATCACTTTAATTGCCTCAGTTGTTATCCCTTCGATATTTTCATTACAGGAGCGTTTTACTTTTAGCAGATCGAATGGAACTGAGAATGTAAACTTATGTGTGGGAAAGTTTCACTTAGTGACGTTGGCGAAGATCCTGTTTAACCTCCCTTTCCCTCTCTTCAAAGAGTTCTGAATTAATTACTGAAGAAGAACCGACTACTTTGTTTATTTACACAATCTGTAACTTGAAGGTTATAAAGTTCATCACTAGTGATTTCTCATTCCCCTTTTACTCTTCTAATTCAGCTTTCTCTAAAGCGTTTCTCCTCATTGTCTACCTTTCCCTAACAATTCAACTTTACTTCCCCTTTAAAATCAACTTGAACGCTTGCAGAGTAATGAAAAATAACTAGCCTACTGTAAATTTCACGCGTAAACAATGCGAAAACGAGGCAGATAGTCCGACTAATGCAGAAAAAACAGATTAGAAATCTCCCTTCTCCAGTGGTTCGGCTTTCAAAAGCATAGGATTCACCGTATCCTTTAATACCCAATATCTTTTCACGAGCTGCTGTAAGTCAGTTGGTTTCTTCGTGCTTGCTTCTAGGTCTTACAAAACGGTTCCAGGTATTCGGTGGGTTCCGATGCGGTATGTCTACCCACACGCCTGCTGCAGCTCCGGTTAGCCCATCGGACGGTTAGGTGTTGATTAAATTTGTAAAGATTGTATGATTTTTCTAAGGACTGAGGAACAGATTTGTTCCTCAAGTGTCGTGTCACCAGAGACTTGGTCGAACTGGTTGTAAAAAGAAGATAGAAAAAATGTCCAGCGAAGTTGAGAAAGAAGAAATGCAAGGAAAGGAAAGTGAAAGGATACAAAATGGAAGCAGAAGTGCAAGTACATTCATGGAAAATAACTGACAAGGAGAATCTCAATCAATGGTTTCAAGTCATAGAGTTCGAACATCAAACTTCATGTTGTGGGATTAGTAGACGAAGGTTCCCTGGTTTCTACGTCTATCTTACTGGAGTGCGCTGTGGCTTTGGAATGGTCACAGTTATCCTCCTGATTCCCAAAAACCTGAGAGGATAGAAACACGACTATTAATTACTCCGGTCTGAAGGTAGTATTACAGCACCTGATCTGGAAATGACGGAAAGTTTCTTGAGTACAGCCCTTCGGTACCGTAGGGCTCGAGGTGTGCGTCTATCCTCATTTTGAAGGTATCAAGGGATGGGGCTGTAACAGCTACTCAAGGAAGGGAGTTCCACAGTTTACAAATTCTAACCGCAAATGAGTTAGCACGGATCTTTGTACATGTTCTCTCACGTTCTATTCTTAACGGGTGACCCTTCAGGTCGCGTTTCCGAGTAAAGCTTAGAAGGGGTCTGTTAGGATGAAGAGGGTTATCGGCGATGTGGTACATCACGATCATGTCCCCTCTGATCCTCCGGTATTGTACTGGATGCGGCTTAAGAGCAACTAAGCGGTCTGGGTACGGTTTGTGTCGTAACCCAATCACTTTCTTTGTAGCTCTTCTCTGTACCCGTTCTAGGATGGCCTTGTCCTTTTTCAGGTATGGCGACATCACAAGCGAATTTTTCGCGCGATGAGGGTGAATGTACAGAGCACATACTGTGGTGGAAAGAGGAGTTACTCCCTGAAGTTCGCAAAAGAAACCCAAGACTCCATAGGCCTTGTTGGCTACAAGGCGGCAGTGGACTGAGGCTCCTAGTGTGTCACTCAATGTAACTCCCAGATCTTGATCCATGATAGTGACAGATATTTATTCCGCCCAGAGAGTAAGAACTGTGACTGCTTTTATATTTGTCAACTATCATTATCTTACACTTCGAGTTGAGAGGAAGCAGGCTTTCTGTGGTCCAATTAAGGATGTTCGTAAGGTCCTCCTGGAAGACCGAGATATCCGTTGGGACCTGCATTTCCCTCCAAATCTTCAGATCATCGGCATATAATAGTGAATGAGAATTGAGGGATTTTGGTGAGCAAGAAACAGTAGTGGGTCCAGAATAGAACCTTGAGGCATACCACTCAGCATCGGGAACCAATAAGATAGAGAGAAGTCAACCGTAACTGACTGCAACCTGCTGTAAAGATGATCTCTAAGCCAAGTTGGTGATTTCTCGTGTACACCCACAGTCAACATTTTCGCGGGGTAAAACTTGGGGTCATGTTTCAGATTACCATGGAAACACGAGGCAAAACATGGGGTAAGACGCGGGATTGTGCAACATTTCTCCCGTGTTTCCTGGAGAAATGGCCCATGTTTTTCCGATTTACTCAGCATTTCACGGTTTTTTGCACTGCACTTTTTATTCCTCGCGAAATGCTTCACGTTTCCCCAAGATTTTTCTATTGTTTTAAAAATGGCTCCGAGTTTCTTCGAGTTTCCCTGCGAAAATGTTGACTAGGCCCATAAGATAAAGTTTCTTGTATAGGATATCATGATTAACCCCGTCAAAAGCCTTAGAAAAGTCAAGTAAACCATTGTAAATGGGTTTTTTTCTGTTCAATAGAGACAGTCCAGCGATTCCAAGCTATCTACGAATTAGTGTTACATGATCTTCAAGATAAAAAAAACCATGTTTGCAGTCGTTTAAGGTTGACGTCCGCAAATGAAGAGATCAGGGAGATCGGTCTATAGTTAGACACAAGTAGTTTGTTTCCACCTTTATATATTGAGAAGACACGAACGCTATAACGTACTTCACAAAAAGCCTAACGTTTCGCCAGGATATTATTCTGAAAGTCGAGAGTAACTGGGTGCATTTATTACGGATTTAGTAGAAAGATTTGTGGTTTCGGCAAAACCTAAATAGTAACTGAAAGCCACACGAAAACTTACGGCTATCGATCATAATCTGTTCTCGGAGGCGGCGACCTTGAAGTAGCAGACTCCTCTCTTTCAATGTCCAAAATCAAAAATAATTACTTCGTATTAACTAATTCTCATGACTTCATATGCTTACTTATAAAAGAGGATGGCGTTATTTGTGATGATCTTTTTCAAGGCTTTTTCAAGGAAATCATGCTCCTTGAATATAGTGATCTAGCACTAAATAGCATGTTCATACAGTTCCAATGGTTGTCGACCGAAAATACAGAAGCTTCCGCTTAACTGGCTTCCGCGTTTAGAATCTGTGAATAACCAATTCTTGTGATAATTAACCCATGTGCAAGCAGATAAGGAGCTACAGGGTGGTGGTAAAATGTGAAAATTCACTTAGCTCACGACAGACACATCCACATCTTAAATGAGCATCAAGCCAATGATCAAAGGGTTTAGACAAAGAGACCTAAGTCACATCTACAAGGATGTCATTCCAGAGTTTGAAAAAATTTATGGAATAGAAGTTTCGTCTGAAATCCAACCTGCTATTCTCTAGGCTTAGTTTCGCTCTGGATACCTTCTGAGCTTATTTTGTCCTTCTGCAGAGATGGGGGAAGACATTAGTTCCAAAAACCAAATGAAGCCATACGAAGCTTTTGACAGTTTGGCGAACCGCCCAGGATTGAATTTTCCGAAAATTCGTTCGAGGGTCTCTGACTCTAAGTTTCCACAAAACGCATCTCTCATGGCCGCCATAGAATGTGGAGTTGAGGGACAGAGACTTGTGAATCAGAGATAGCGATGCTTCAAATTTCATGAGGTTAATGTTAAATGCATGGCTTGCATCATGTTTCCCATACAACATCTTGCATTTTTGGAAACAAATGCGAGCCATTTACTGACTGCTCAGCTTTGAAGTTGGTTTAAGTCTTCCGGTGGAGAAATAATCTCCCCTTCACTTCTTTTTTCTCTTCGCGGTTTCACATCATCGACGAAAAGAAGGATTTCGGAAGAAGTTTGCTTGGGAAAGTCATTCGTGAGCATTTTAAAAAAGAGGCTCTTGTATCGAGCCTGAGGGAACTACACTGGGACATTATGTTTTTTCAGACATGGAGAAACTCTCTAGAGTTGTCAATAAAAGACCTCGTAGACACGAAGACGGCAAGTTATTGAACGGTAGACTGATGGTTATCAACATCCTTTTGGTCGGTAATACTAGTTCTGCTGCGGTGAGCAGACTGGTAGCCCGTGTTGTTGAGGTGTAAAGGAGTTAATCGTAATAAGGTGATCCCAAAGATTCTACCACAGACTAAAGATCCCATTACTGCCGGGGGCACGGACAAGAGCTTCAACAGTTTTTATTTCTCCGGGTCGCTTCGCTGACCTCCTGTTGAGATTGACGTTGTGTGGTACAACTTCCAGGGAATGAATACTCCCTCTTGACCTAGAGAATCCTTAAATGGCCTGGTTGAAGCTTTAGCCAAGATCGATACTCCTTCCCACGGTACTACTGCTCGGATTTCTTCTGGTGTTAGAGAGGTGTGTTTTGTAAACAGAAACAGATCTAAGCAACAAAAACCAGGGATGTTTGCTGCATTTATGAGACATGTATATTGGACCGAAGTGAGATTATTCGCCGACACCCATTATGACGAATCGGCAAACCTCACCTTTCGAGCTTCTGGAGATTCGACGGCCGGTTTTCGCTGTCCTACGGATGTAGACATAGGACTGAGCACTAGAGCAGACAGTTTACCACCCGACTGCATACCAGATGACAGTTACCTGTGTGTCGTTCGACCCAAGAATACGGTGGGGGCAAGAGGTGTGATGAAAATCGCTATTGTCTCTTTACAATCTCTGATTACATATCCACTGATTCCTACTTGGATGAAGTAAAGGATGAGGTCGACCAAGAACTGCTGAGCCTCCTACTGAGAGCCAAGCGCGAAGACGTGGTTATTTTTGTCGGTGACTCCAATGCACAAGTGGGTGAGCTGACCTGGGCAGAGAGGCACTTAAGTGGTAACTTCAGAATACGAACAGAACGTAGAGATAGCGCGACTGCGCTCAGATAACTATATATTTCTGAAAAGCCCGAACTTCTTGACATAAAGCGGTGCATTGCCCAGCGTAACATCTGCAGGGCTCAAATCGGCAGCGGGTACACACAGAAGACGCTACTATCGGTCGTTGCCGAAGAGTGGGTCCCGTGGAAGACGGTAGCTCCTCCCGGGCGTGTTTAGACGGTGACCAGACGTTGGCCTGGCCGCGCCTGCGTATGCATCCAAGTGAACTTGGGAAAACTATACAGCATAAGCATCACAAGCGCAACCGGGCAATTGGAGGCGTAAAGCCTCTTTCAGGGTGAAGCTGACTTGAAGGTCATCGGAAAGGAACAATATCACCCAACCGGTGGAAGCTTGACGCCAACCCAGCCTGTTAAAGAAACTGCGGTGAAGGTCACAGACGACTTTTAGTAGGTAGTTAAAAAGAGCCGCAAGTTTTCAGTGGCTTCTTATGAATAATCGGATATACGTGATCGCTTCCCCCCAGACGACTGCAACTCAGATGTAGCCTGTCGAGAAGTCTACGCAGTGATCGAGTACACTGGTAGACTGAAAAGTCCAACTTGATGGGGAAGGCAGCCACGATGACTCCCAGTAGACAACTATTTAAACTTATTGAGGATGGTGGGGCAGAAACGTTATGGTTAGTGCGATCACAGAGCTGGACAGTCAGTACATTGTTCATTCGCAGTAGAGGGTCATGGAACAATGTGTTAAACACTCAGCGGAATAATTCAACTTACCTTCAGCTACTGTTCTGTTGCCCACCACCCAGCAGGAGTTCGAATAGAGCACAGACATGTGAAGTCAAGAAAACGGTAAGTAACCTGAAACGGTGAAGAGCAGCAGGACAAAGCGGACTGGCTCCAGAGGAGTTTAGAGGTGGTAGTCAAGGTCTTTTAGCTGAGGTAACTTAAGTTATAACTAGTGTGGGTGAGTCAGAAATGATATCCTCCGACTGGCATCAATCTCTTAATGTCCCAGTTTTCAAGACTAGTGAACGGTCCTCTCGTGACATCCACAGGGGAGTCAGTTGGCAGATCCTAAGTTCCATGAGCACTGGAGATCTAAGCAGAGCTTGGGAACTGGAAGTCTGAGAAGAAAGCAGATTTCAGACTTCTCCCAGGGTGAACAGAATAAATATTCATTTCCAAAAAGTTCTGAATCAGAGGCACACTTGACAACACCCAACACTGGCACCATTCCTTGACCTCAAAGGGGCATTCGACTTGGTCAATCGCCAGCTCCTATGGAAATGTTGCCCTCTAGAACCACTGCTGAGTAAGTACATCAATCTTTTGAAGACCGAGCAAGTGATTATCTGTCAGAGCGTTAGAGCTAATATTGGGTTTTCAGATGACCTGTTTGCATCAAGTGGTGTCTGTCACGTATGGAATTCGAGAATGTCTGATATGCCTTTCCTGCTCAACAAATACAAGTTGTCTCACCAGGATCGATCCTAGGCGGTGCCCAGCGAAAAATGGATGGTGAAGTGGTTGAGTGGGTTGACTACTTCACTTACTTAGAATGTTGGATCGGCCATGGTAAGTCAGTCACTGGTGAAACCTCGCCACGGAAATAAAAGCCTCTACCGGCCACTGCCGAATTATGCCATCTGTGATGCCTCCGCGATATCTGCTCGTCAACTAAAATTCGAGTGCAGTATGTTGCAGTTCGCTTTGTTCCGATGCACTTCTGTGAAACATGGCTGTTGAAGTTAGTGTGAGAAGGCCCCAAGTGTTTTACTACCGTAGCACCGCCAACGAAGGCCGCGTCTCATTGTCGTCACGTCAGTAGCACAGAAGTCGGGTGTAGTTTCAGAGCGGAGTGGAATGCCAGCTGGTGTGGTTGTGGACCATCATCAACCGGGGTTGCCCTAACAAGTGTTGCGCATGCCCACCCACTGTCCGCCTCGCCGAGCCGGGCTCGGGTTGCCCGTAGGCTAGGGGCAGCCAGAATAAAACACGGCTTCAGGGCATGAAGTCTTCGGCTACTGGTATGAACCACGTTGAGAGGCAGACTGACTAATTGGGGCCCACACGATGGCAGAATCTTGTGGTGGGTGACTCTGGTTGGCATGCCTCATAAATCAACTTCAGTGGATCAGATGGAATTACATATCATCCCAATTTCAGTGGCCGCAATGAGTTCAGCATATGCGATTGCGCCCTTCTCCCTCTAGCTGCTTCCTCCTGTTCTTGGCTGTCCCTCTTATACAGCTTCCTTTTTCGTCATACTGCATTTCGCTTGATAGACCGATATGAGTGGTCACGGTTCGGTCGTTACACGATTATGCTTGATCCCATGTCGATATGATGGTGATGGCAGCGGAAAGCAAGGCAAGCTGAGCCGCCGTGCAATTACCAGTGTGCCCATGGAAAAATGTTTAGGGCTGAACTTCTCCGACACCTTGAACACCAGCTCCAATTGCAAGGAAACCACGGACACTGAGGATGCTACTATTCGCTTTCCGTACAGACAGCTCATTTCTCTAACTCCTGAACTGCTCCTGAACGTTTTCAAATTCTATCCACAGCCACATCTCGAAGTCTTGAGCATGGCAGCATCACAACACTCTTGTGAGATTCCAATTTTACTTGAAAAGCAGAAAGGTCTGTGACCAACCCGGCCTTCAGTTCAGAAACGCACTCTGACAGACCAGGTCACTTAGACCTGCCTGCTATTAGGTTGTCGCAGAGGGAGGAGTATTCTTGTTATGGCCTAGAAGATCGTTCACCAGGTAAGTTATGTGAAAAAGACCTTGCCTGCAGCACAGAGGTCATCATGAAAGGTCCACACAGAAGCAACACTCCAGACCACCAATGCCAGATTCAGGTCAAATTTCCGTTCCCTGGGAGCAAGCTCATTATGAAGTGATTTGCGGTGGGGTGTAGACACAGCCTATCACTTGGTCCACTCAGGAGAAGGTCAAGCCGTTGACTTCGTTCTTACAGCGTAGCAGCGACGGGCCCAGGACACTTGTAACCTCGTTGGGTCACGTTCACTTCCTT